TGCGGCAGCTAAGAAGTGCGCATGAATTTTATTTTTTTGCTAACCAATAGTCAAGAGTATTATTCTATTTTTTTTTTTTGCACAGGCCAGGCGGCAAGCTTCCCGTTGCACATGGCTTCAAGCCCCATGACCGCCTGCGGCGCACTTACGAGGGAGCCTCCCCGGTAAGTAGCAGGTGCTTCGGCTGGTAGGAACACACCCAATACACATCCAATAAAAGGACCCCGGAAGTCATGGTGCGTTAACGGCCGCGACTTTTCTTTTTGGCTGGGCCAAGTACTGGTGGTTTAGGGAGAGGAAGAGGGAAACGAAGGTCTTCTTACTTTTTCGGGTAATACAAACAAAATACTTACCGTGGGATCACGAGTACTGCACGGCAGGATTTGGGTCACTCAACTGCCACACAAACTCTTTTCTATCCTATCCCGTTGCTAGTGGGATCATACCCCTGTGGATATATCTCAAGATTGCCGCCCTTTAAACCACCAGTACCTTGCGCAGCTATTGAGTCCGAGCCTTGGCCGACCGGTATGCCGAGGCTCTTGGCCGACCGGTATGCCGAGGTGTGCCGAGGCTCGGACTACCGGGCGCTGCCTTCCCGGACCTCTACAGAAAGAGGGGGACTAAATGCCATTTTTTTTTTTCCGAAGTTCTTTTTTTTTTTTCAAAGTTCTTTTCATCATTTCCTCGCGGTACTTCTTCGCTATCAGTGCCTCGCCCGTACTTTCTGACAAAACTAAGCCAAAAAAGAAAACGAAAGAAACAAAAGAAAAAAACAAAAAACAAAAGGGAAAAACAAAAGGAGAAATCACGACCCAAAAGAAGTTCAACTTTTGTTGGAGCCCAAACGAACATGAGAGAGAGAGAGAGAGAGAGAGAGAGAGAGAGAGAGAGAGAGAGAGAGAGAGAGAGAATACGTATCGGGAATGCATCTTCCCGCGAAAGCGGGAAGATTCATTCCCGTTTTGCACTTGGCAAGGCGCGCGCACGCGAGAGGGAGAGAGAGAGAGAGAGAGAGAGAGAGA